TGTTTCGTGTGTTGACGCCGTCTGCCTCACGGTGGTAAACTCTAAATTAGACCTGTTTTCTTCTCATGGGAAACRTCTATAAGTACTCAGCTGATGTTATGGGAAATGTCTGAGCTGTAAGTGACCCCGCTGATAAAAAGATGAATCCCTCCAGGATCCACGTTGACATGTTGCTCTTAAACTGCTGCTGGTTTTGTTTCTGTCCAGACCACTGGTGTGGGAATTTTCCATGGTTGGAGATCCACTTTTTTTTCCCCCGTCAGTCAGGAAGACASGCTGACCGAAGCGTTTCCTCTCCTTTAGGACACTCATCTTCRCTTTGTTGCTTTTGTCAATTAGAAGATATGAAAACAAAGAGCTACAGCTAGCTCTTTACATGCAAGCTGGTGCTTTTTTTTTTCTTTTTTTAGATGCAGCATCGTTTAAATTAGTCGAATTGTCCCGTGTGTCGTCTGTTTATACAGGAGGTCCAATAMATGAGCCCAGATCTCCAGACCTCAGGGTCCAGTTCTCCCTGTTGGCTCTTCAGGACCTCTGAGACTGGAGACGGTCACAGTCTGTGAAGGATTTATTTATGTCTTCCTTGCAGACCAGGGTTTATTCATCTTTCAGGAAACGGCCTCTTTGTATTTCTGTACATTATGTGCACCGAGCCGTTCTCTGCTCTGTGACTGGAAACCTGATCAGGTCAGACGTGTTTGTTAAAGGCTTTTACTCTGAAGTTTGTGGTGTGAACGCTTTAAACCAGGGTTTCTTAACCTTTCTGACCTGGGGGCCCAATTTGTTGAACATAAAGAGGCAAGAGGCCCAGTCACACATTATCATAAAGATCAAAATGATAATTATTTTAATCTTGGTTTAATTTTTATTGTATTTACTTTATAACTAAACTGTCATAACTAACATAACTAAATAAAATACACTTACAGTTTAAAAGTAAAACTCCTGTCAAATAATCACAAGACATGATTATAACAAACATTTTTATATTGTAACCTGCCCATAACAATTATTTGAACAAATACAAACAGACCACTCAGGCTTATCAACACAAAAATATGTATTTTTAATATAAACAATAACAAAAATAGACAATTCAAAAAACTAAAATTGTGGGTATAAAATAAATAAATGAAAAATGTTTAATGTAAATG